AGGAATTCTGAGCAAGGGCTCTGACCAGTTACTGTCCCAGCTGCTACTCATCCATCTCTTCCAGCTGTGGTTTGGAAGATAAACAGGCTGTTTTGTTTTCGAAAGCCATGTGTTGTGTGCAGAGGAAGGGACACCTCTGAGGCCAGAGCACAGCCAGGGTCCCAAGGGGCTGGGCTTAAGGCTGCTTTTGCCTTCTGGTCTCTACCTCTCTATAGTAACCCCTTGAGCCTGTGAGCTAAGCTGGGTTCCTCCTGCTCTGTGTTTACTGAGGCACCTGTGTGCATCGTATATACAGCCTAACTGCTGAGCTGCAGGCACTCAAGCATCCACACTGGTCCCAGGTCTATGGGCTTGATCCCAGCAGGAGCTTTCATCATGTTACACAGCTGGGACAGACTCTGTGTGGCTCAGGAAGTCAGTGGACTCCACTGATTTACAGCCTGGAGCAATTGGCTGTATCTGGGCTTTGTATTTAAAGTATTTTTATCAAAGGAGTTCACAAAAATGGTTTTTGTTCAGTAAAATGAACACTTAAGGATACATCCGAAATCCCATCAGCTTGAATGGCTCTTAAGTAGGTTCCCCTTAGTAGCTTTGCAGAACAGGGCAGTGACCTCAGGAACTGATTTTGCCAGCCCTGCTCAGACACATGGCTCAGGCCTCAGAGCTGAGTGAGGATTTGACCCTCCACAGAAGACATGATCACCTGTTTGGATGTACAGCATAGTGTCCTGGGTTCAGCAGTAGCAGTCATTTTTCTCCTTCTTAGTAGCTGGTGCAGAGCTATGTTTTTGACTTTCGGCATGGGAATAGTGTTGATAACACCGATGTTTTTAGTTGTTGCTCAGTAATCTTTACTCTGACCAAGGACTTTGTGAATCTCATGCTCTGCCAGGGAGGAAGGGAAGCCGGGAGGAAGCAGAGACAGGACACCTGACCCAAACTGACCAAAGAGGTATTCCATACCACAGCATGTCATGCCTACTATATAAACCGGGGGCAGTTACCCAGAAGGGTTAGATCACTGCTCGGGTCGGGCTGGGTATCGGTCGGCGGTTGGTGAGCGATTGTATTCTCTTCCCTTGTTATTTCCCTTATCATTATTACTATTGGTGGTAGCAGTAGTGGTTTGTGTTATACCTTAGTTACTGGGCTGTTCTTACCTCAACCCGTGGGAGTTACATTCTTTCGATTCTCCTCCCCATCCCTCCAGGAGTGGGAGGAAGGAAGAGGGGGAGTGAGCGAGCGGCTGCGTCCTTCTGGGTTGCCGGCTAGGCTTAAACCATGACACATAGAAATGATGCTGTGCTGTCTTTCTGTACTTTCCACAACATGTGTTCCAGATGGTTCAGCAGAGATGGTAGACTTAGAACATTTATGCACTTGAAGCTCATAAAATACGTTGTACTCCTCAGCCTTTTGAACTGAAGCACTTCCATGTTTTCTAAAGCACTTTTTAAAACAGCAATCAATGAAAATGCCTCCAGGAATCCAGTTTTCCAGGATACAGCTCCTCATTCATCTTGAGTACAAAGTTATGTTGCAAAAGGCCCAACTCAGCAAACTCAAACCCGCAAATTTACCTTAAGTCCCAGGGGAGCCTCGCTGAGTACCATTCTGGCTTGTGTTAGCATGTGTTTAAAGAGTCTGAACACAGAGACCTGGTGTTGGAAATATTTATGACAGTTTGACAGCATTTGTTTGGAAATGTCACTCTAGCAGCATATGGACCCCACTCCAGCCCTCAGACAAGCAGCAAGTGGGTGTTGCTGGTGCCCTGTGCTACAGGTGCTCTGAAAACAGAAGTTTAAATGGTTTACAGAGGGATGAGAAAGAGAGTGAGCTCCAAATTTCTGCTGTGGATGAAAATATGTTTCAGCAAAAGGCAAGTTTTTATCCAATGTGTGCCCAGTCTGTACAATTTAGATGCTAAATGTCAGCTCTCAGTGTTGCTTAAAATGTAGGGCTGAACTATGTAGTTCTTCATCAGTGGCTGCTTGAGACATCTGGATCTCCTGAAATCTCAGCTGAAATATCTGATGTAGATAGTGCTGTGGCACAGGTACCTGCAGTATCCCTGCGTCCCTGTTCTCTGTTAGGAGCACAGGGCTCCTAACTGCTCCCACCACCACCACTTTTGCAGGGCCTGAAAGGGAGGACATACTCCACCATCCTCATATGTAGCCTCTTGATCCTGGAGTAAAAGCTTTGAAATCTCAGAGATGTTATTAAGTTTGTTCATAATTCAAGTGAAGTGACAGGACAGGGAAGAAGGGAGATCATGCAGAGTGCAGCAGTTAGCTCATGAGGGCAGGCTAGTGAGCAGCATTTCAATGAAGGTTTGAAAGGCATGTGCGTATACTATTCCTGGCCAGAACCTGAAGTCCTCATGCTGCTATTTGCTCAAACAGGCTGTTAATATCAGAGGGTGTCTGTACTGGGTGATGTACACACAGAATGAGAGCATCAGTATTTGATGCCTTGTAGTGAGGGAGCATGTTTTAAAAAGTAATTTGAAGGGCAAAAGGAGGTGAGGAGTTGGACAGGAAGGCAGGTCTTTTGCTCTACAGCTAGAATGTGTTTTAACACAGAAGAACACTGTGGGTACAAGAAAGCTCAGCTTCTTCTTGATTCCTTGTTTTGGCCAGCTCATTGCTTTGCTTGGTTTTGGCTGAGTGGCTGTAGTGGCTTGTTTCCATGGTCCTTGTTGGTTCATCAGTTTTACTCAATTCTTCAGCATTTTCAAAGGGACCAATTAAGGCCATTTCCTTAAACTTTATCATTAGGGACACTTCTCAGTTCACACACCTCTGTTACCTGCCAGATCTGGTGCAGCTGTCCCATTTTTCAGGTCTTGTGCGCAGCTTCCTTTTGTGGAACTGGGATTTCTCCTGTCTGTAGGAGAAAAGTTTTCTATCTGACTTGAATTTCCCCAGGCCTAGAATGATACGCAAGAGGAAACTGGAACCTGTGTTTCTTTTATTTTAAATGCATCTTCACAAACTTCTGCCATAAAGGGAGCTCTGAATTGCTGGAAGCAGGGGCAAACCGCATCCCCTGGGGAGCATTCTGCGGTGTAAGAAAACTTTCTGTGCTAGGAGTTCGGTCTTAATTTGAGGTTTAGCTAAAATAAAGATGTCAAAATATTGATCTTTCCAAACTGTATGCAGCATGTGTTAGAGCTGGCTGCTGAGACTTAACTTCAGTCTGCATCAGGATTGCTGATGCAAGTCACTAGTATAAGTATTACTAAAAGGTTTGTTTTCTCTTTTGGTGTGTCTGCTAGTGCTCTAAAGTTTTCAGTTTCATATTTTTTTTTTCTGAATATTGCTTACAAAAATACACATTAAATGGGTAATCTTTTTGGTTATAGATATATATGTGTGTATGTATATATAAAGTGGTGTGGTCAGTGATGTTTATTGAACAAAGCTAAGGCCTGGGCCAAAGTCAGAGCAAATTGCAAGTGTGCATTCTCTATGTCTCTTAACAACAAAGTAATGTTAAAGGACTACAGCTAGTGTCCTACAGTACCTGGCAATGTCTTCATTCGCCTACTTGAAGATTTTTTAGCATTTTATTTTGTGGAGAAATGAAATGTATTTCATTTTTTAGATTGGATGAGAGGTATATGGACATTTTCATCTTTGCTCTGACTATAAACATTATTCCTCAGGAAGTTAGGATCAAAGAGCAGAAATGATGCTTCATCTTTGCTTTGTTTCTTAACGAATTAAACAAGTTATTTTCTCTTGTTCTGGGCTCTGGCAGGCCTGAAATGCAGGAATTACAGATGTGGTAATGGCTGCTTTTCAGTAACAGATCCCTTCTCTTTTTTTTTTTTTTTATTTTTTTTTTCCCCCCAGTTTACCTATTTGTTTTAAATATATCTATCCATTTCTCTAAGTACTTGTAACTGGGTTTAATTGCGAACACTGAAAAATTCTCTCTTTCCAGATAGTAGTGTAGCTAGGAATGACAATTCAAATCAGCCCACGTTATGCTGTACAAGCAATAACTCTTCTTGTGCTACGGCAAATCACTTCACTTGCAATGTTTTAAACAAATATGCAACCAAAGTGATAAATGCAATCCTCTTACAATTTTTTCTTAGAGAAAGCCACTAAAAAATTTATCTGGTCCATTTATTTTCAATTTAGTACTCCTCTGGGTTTGGTTCTGAGTTATGGAGAAGCTGGATCCTATTTGTGTCTCTGCTACCTATTTCAGCAAATCACCTCAGCCTAAAACACTAGAGGCTATCTCACATTAATATGCTGATATATGCCCAGGATCACACGTACCTTCCCCACATGTTGTGTACAAACACCTTGCAGTGAGTAAGTGCTGCTCCATGTGTTTCCATCAGATGCAATCATTGACAGAACTGGTTTTGGATGTAACAATGAACTTGGGCTTCCTTTGCATCCATGGAGCAAGCTTTTGCCTTTGGAAACTTGAATAAGAAGCTCATGTGCCAGTGGATCTCCATGTTGAATAAATGAATACAGGAGGGAAGGGAAAGTAAGTACAACAGCAGATGTAGGCAAGGGGTTTATGGCCCAGAAGGAGCAGTGAAAGTTTTAGGATGTGGACATTTTCCCCACTGCCGTGTTATGACCCTCATATATTGTGAAAGGAAAGATGATTACGCTGTAGCTGTGTTACTATAATGTCATAAAATGGATGGGATGGTATCTTTCAAGGAGACTATCAAATGATTCAGTAGCACGGATAACTAACTACGGATTTCTCTGCATCCAAGACCAAGTTGTAATAACAGCTTGGGAATAATGATGCTATATTTTTCCATTAAAGAAAGTTTTATTTCTGGAACCTTGACAGATTTTTAGAGTAGCAGAGACTTTTCTTACCACTGAAGCCCACATCTTTATTATAAAGCCAAACTGGTCTCTCTGAAACCACATTATGCATGTTGTAACAATACTCTCCCACAGACGATGAATGCTTAGAACATATTTTTCCATTTGAATCATCCATTCACTTAAAAATAAATTCTCTTATTAAACAAAATACAACCATGCAACAAGCTTTGTAGGTTTGTGTTCCATCTCTCCTCTTCATTAGACTATTAACACTTTGTTACTGTTTCAAATAATTTTCTGGTGACTGCATCATTTTTCCTCTTCCCCTCCCATTTTCTTTTCCACATAAAATAAAGCACTTTCCATCCTTGCTTTGTTGCAAGCACACCTAAGTAAAATAAACGACCATGAACTGATCCTGCAGTGGCATAAATGCAAATGCATCTCTGGTGCTCCTTGAAACCAGTGGTCACACAGCTGCACATGAAGTTGACTGTCTGCATTTCTCTGCTGGATAAAGCCCTTGAAGAGAAGCAAAGCCATCATTGCAATCCCTGACAGTGATCACTGAAGAAAAGAGTCTCCAAACGAGAAGGTTATGGGGGAGCATGAAAAGCATATGTTCTTTTTGCAAGGCTGGCACTCTTGGTGAGCAACAGTCACTGGTGATACACCTTTTAATGGGCATTATCTGTCCATTTCACAGCCCCAGATAAAAGGTAAACAATAGTCCAAGTTCCAGGAGTGATTAGCTTGGATAATTGTTCTGCTGCTTGCTTTGTGCAATTTACATCTATAAACACACACTGGGGGAATCATTTGCCTAGAGCAGCAGGGCACAGTAATTTCCTATATAATTTTATCCAATTGCTGCAGGAACTCATTTGAGCAATTGTTAATTAATCATTAACAATCATTAACTTCGGGTAGTGATGAGTACTGATCAAGATTTCCATGCTGCATTTTTAGTTTCTGAAGGTTCATCATTAATCAGATTAATAGCATTTTTGTTATTTGAGGAAAAGAAACATTATACATCCTATCCACTTAAAGGAACTCTTAGTAACATCTATGCCTTTAAAATAATTGCACGCCTTCACTCTGGCTGTTGCAAAAGTCAGAGGCTTTTTTTTGCTGCATAAATTACTTGAAAATATTTTGCAGTTTAAATTAACAATGCTTTCCCATTGTTCCTGCTGTTCGGAACAACCATGAAAGCAGTGACACCACTCCCACTATTTCCCTCATGGTTAATCCTCTTTGCCTCATACCTCGTGGCTTTGAAATAAAAACAACAAACAGCTATTTGTAATACTTCTAGTGCCACCTTTTTCTCAATGATGTAGCTACTAATAATGTATTTTTCCATTAGTGAACCCTTGTGGCCCATCAGCACCATGCTTGTAGATGAGGTAGATGTTGCTCCATCAAGACTTTGTGCAGCTCTGCAATAAAGGAACATTTAATTCTAATTGCCTCTCACCCTGAAGTGACTTTGTGCGTCCCCTTGGAAAGAAGAGAGCAGCACAGCCCACGATGACATGCAGATGGAAACCTTCCCTTAGGATAAAAGGCCGGTCAGTGTCCCTGCTCTCCTTCCTTCACACTTTCACCTGTCATCCTTGACAGCAGCTGTGGTGGGAAGGAAAGAGCAAGGAGCTCCCCTCCACCACATCTCCAGTGAGGACCTTCACCCTCTGTAGCCTGTCCAGTCTGCACCAGCCAGACGCTGTACCTCCAGTCCCACCTGGGACTTCAGGTGACCCCCAGGGAGAAATCAGTCTTGGAAAGTGAAAGAATTCCCCTTTCTGAGGTGCAAGGGAAAAGCAGTCCAGAAGCCGAGATGTTTGCAAGTGCTGGGAGGATGAGGCCAACAGGCTCCTTAAACTCCTGGCTCCTGGTTCAGCTCCAGCACCCCGGCCTCAGGCAAGCAACTCCCATATGTGTGCCTTCACTCTGGCCAGGAAAAATGGGGTAATAATTAACTCACAGGGCTGTGAAGTACTTGAACAAGAAAAAACAGCATATTTGAACAGCACCTCCATCGGCTGAGCCTACGTCTGAGATGGCAGAGTGAGCTGCAGTACATTGTCATGCCAGCACTGAGTTTATCAGGGTGTGACCTTCCAGCCTTGGGATGCAGAGATTAGCCACTCCTATCACTGCATTTACTGAGATAAACCGATCACACACCTTAGAGACAGCTGTAAAGATTGAGGTTGGCAAGTTAAGCCCCTTGATGGTGAAAATGCTTATTGAATGGTGCTAAGGTTTTATCACTGCTGCTTGCCACACAAATACGTGCTATTGCATTTATTATTAGAATATGTTTCCCATATAGCTGCAGATTGTGAGGCCATGAATAGTATCAGGCTGAAATCAGGGTGATCTTATTTCAAGGAATTCCAGAGGAATGAGCAGTAATTTGCCACTAATTGCAAGGAAGCTTTGATAAAAACTCTGAACAGATTCCCAACAGCACATATTTTCCAGAGCCTGCCTGGTAATTTTCAATAAACCCCAAGAACAATATGACCATTAACTCTTATGTTAAATGTCATCCAGATTTGTTCATATCATTCTTCACCACACTGTATCTTTTCTATGGGTGTTTTCATAATTGATGGTGTGTGGCCACATTTGGCCTTGCTCAGTGATACATCCATGGAAAAATGTTAGATGAAGGTCAAATGAGGCCCACAAGGGATGGGTGATTACCTTTCCCATTTGACACTTCTTTAAATAGTACAGAAGTTATCTTCTAGCTTGTGGCTACATTTGTAGACAGATTGTATCTGCACAAAGCTGTTCCCACATAAAGGCTTGTTTGAAGACCCACTGTGGTCTGTGGAGACTTGCACTGATCTACTGAGATTTCCTCTTTGTGATGGGGCATGCTAAATAAAGTGATATGCTTGTTGAAAGAAACTCCACCTCTTCATGCTTGGGTGGTGCTGCTCATGGTCTAGTGTGAGGTGTCCCTGCCTATGGCAGGGGGGGTGTAACTAGATGATCTTAAGGTCTTTTCCAATCCTAACCATTCTATGATTCTATGCTGTTAAGTGGCTGTAAGTATTCAGAACGTTACCAGCTATTTGTAAGCCTATGCTGAAAGCTTCCCAATTGTAACAATACTGTTTCACTATTGTGAACCATTTTAAAAGGTAGAGGTCCTTTTTCTTAGATCTGTTGCCATATAAAGTTCCACTAGCAGTAATCAATACCAAATGACTTCAGTTACCAACCAAACTGGTGGATGGTTTGCAAAAATGCAATTTGTGATACCTTATGGGAAAGTTCATTCTTCAAATTATCAGGGAATATTGCAAATTCACTGACAATTAGAAAAATCTCTTGAATATTTTGTTGTCATGAAAGATCTGTGTCTATACAGAGCGTTAGTTTAAATTAATATTTCAGCTGGCTTATGTTTAATTTATTCTGTGTAGCTGGCCTGGTTTTGTCCTATTGACAGAGGAGCAGCAAATGTATGAATGTGCTCTGATTCCCTAATTCCCTATTTAATAAAATACATTAAAAAATTAGGAACAAGCTTTAAGGCACATCCCGCTGCGTGGTTAGTTCTCGTAAGATTAGCAGACATTATGGCATCCCAGTCCTAGCTGTGCTGGGATCCCAGCTGTCAGTTGCTGAAAGGCTGGGATCTTCCCTCACATACACATAAGCCATTACAAAGTATAACTGTTGATGTTTTAAGTTGCCTAAATTAGGAGATGTCCTTATATTGACTAAATTGGGAGATGCTCATGATATTCATCAGGTCAAATCCATTGCTGACATAAAGCCACAGAAAGAAGTGCAACTAACTCTGAAGATCTGTAATGGCCTTCAGTACAAGGCTTCTAATTTCACCATAAAAATATCAGCTGTCATCTTTTTGTGTTTAAATGCCAAAGGAGAGTGTAAATGAGAGATTTTTTACATCACACATTGTTCTTGCTGATCATGTAGGTAAGGGAGTTTTACTGTGCTTTGCTTTAAGGTGTCCACTCCATCTCCTGGGTTTGCTGTGGCCATCACCCTATCCACCAATACGTCAGAGTGAAGGTACCAAAGGGATATTTTAAATGTTTGAGTCTCTTCTTATAATTATACTCTGATTTGAAAAGCTGAACAATAGCAGATTCTGTTGTATTTTTGCTGAATAATAAGCTGCAGATTATTATTCAATGAAGCTTCCTTGAGAACTTTTGTGGAAAGAAAATGGCTTGTATGCAAGCATTGACGCATTGATGGGATGTGTCTATGGGATTGATGGGATGATGGAATTTTTCTATGAATGAGAGTGTAACCATGTATAGCATCATGCTGTACCAAGAGAGGACAGTGTGCTTCTCCTGGGGACAGCAGTTCTCCCTCTGTGTTAAGTTACACAAGCTGGTTTGTGGGGTAGAGCTGACGAGCCAGGGTGTCTCTCTGGGTAGAAGCTTTCAGAAACCAGAGAGACATTATGGATTTCACTGTGCACTTGAACATTTTGTTAAATTATAACTCAAGTTTCCTAAAATACCTGAAAATCTGATGTGGGTGCCCTCCACACACTTGATCAAAGATGTGTAGTTTACTCATGGTACCAGACCAACTTAATGTTTGAATACTGGTGTAAATGTTAGCAACTTCTCTTTTTCAATAGAATCATAGGATCATGGAATCACAGAATGGTTTGGGTTGGAAGCGACCTTAAAGATCACCTAGTTCTAACCCCCTGATGGGACACCTTCCACTAGGCCATGTTGTCCAAAGTCCTGTCCAACCTGACCTTGGAAAATCCATTATAGATGGAATTCCAGGGTCAGGCACAAAGTAAAGACAGCGCAAGTAGGATTGTCAGCCAAGCCCTGGCACACACTGAGCTGAGAGGGGCAGAGCACGTGCATCAGCATTCCATTTGCACTGCAGCCTGTTACTAGACTCTGCCACTGAGGACAAGCATTCAGTGAGGTACTTATTGAACTGGAGAGGTCAAGGTGCAGTTACATATTGTTATTTGATCAGCTGTAGTCTAATAATAGGAAAAAAAACCCACCCAATCAAAACCCCATAATAAACCCCACGATGAAACAAAACACTGGTTTTCACCCAGACAAATGCCAAATCTACATCTGAATACTTCTATAGCCAGAAAGCAAGCAATCCAGAAAATGCTTATCCTTTCAAATATTTATGCAAAAATCCCCCATGGATAACTATAGTATCTTCATTTTTTGCTAGTTTATGTCCTTTTGTGTAATAAGATATTTTTAAATTACTCCCTTCTGACAACTTTCTAGAAGAGCTGCAATTTCTTTTCTCCCTCCCTCGTTGTGCTTTGCAAAGTCACATTACACTGCAGCGTTTAAAGCATGGGTAGAATTTGACAGTACTTCATAAAAAATGTACTTTTCAAGACCAGAAATAATAAATGCTGAGGAAATTGCTGCTTTTTCTGCTATCGTCCATTAAATCCATGGGAAGGGAAAAAATCCTGCAAAGCTGCTAAAAGATCCACCAGCCCAATCTGTTTTTAAACACAGAGGAAACTTCAGGAGACTTCAGTGACATGATTTCTGCAAGCAGGATATTTTGAAGCTAATAAAATTTCAGCTGGAAACCACTGTTATAATTTGCAGCTTTATTTATACTTTACCTTCTATTCTGCAAATAAGCTTCCCATATTTTTGTCCTCATATTAGGTGTTCCATTTCAGTCTAGGCAGACGTTTTAAGGCCAAAACCTCAGTCGTTGCTAGATTTATGAATCAGTTTTGCTACAGTAAGCATCTCTAAAAGAAGTGAAACAATCTGATATTTCTGCTATAGGAAACAAGTATCCTTCCATATACTCAAAAGCATCATTATTTTGTTGTTTAATGATAATATTCTGTGCTTTTCCTGATTTACGTGTTTTGGCCCTTCTGAATACCTTCATCTTCCAATTAGCTTCCCTATTACATATATAATTAAAGACAAATCAGATTATGGTGATTAGCATATATTATAAATCATTTTACTAATTTCTGAGGGCATATTCTTACAAGGGATAACATAGAAATTAGAAGGGTAATTAGGCCAAAATTACCCTTGCTAATGAATCTAAGCAGTAGTTTAATCCTCTAACAAAAGACGCATTTTGATACTTTGGAGGTTGAAGGTGTGATTCTCAGGAACCAACATTAGGAATAAATCAAGAGCTTCAAGAAGATTTACAAAGAGCTCAGCTTCAAGAAGCTTTACAAAGAGCTTCAAGAAGATTTACAAAGAGCTCAGCTCCAAAACACCTGAACGAATTCTCTGGAAACCTGCTGCCATTGGGTCTAACTGTGGTTGCTTAAGATATTCCATAATGTAGAATCTGAGGGGAGAGGAAATATATCTCTGTGGGATGTGGCTCTTCCCACTGTTCTTGGAGCTCAGAGGGAGAAAGAAGGAGGTTTAAGGAATCAGTGCCTAGCTTTCCATGTGGTGTGAAGGTATGCTCAAGCAAGAATGATGGCACCTGCCATCAGGGGTCAGTGAGGGCTGGGTGCATGGCCAGGTCCTTATCCTTGGCCTATTGCCCAGGGAGATTTAGTGTTGCAGTGGGCGAGGAGTTGATGCGGGGTCGTGGCCAGAGTGCCAAAGGAAGAAACCCGCAGTGGAGGGATGCCTTGCTCCTGTCTGTCCATGGTTTAAGTGTGGTGGTCCCTCTTCCTTTGTCAGCAAGAAAGTACACTGAATTCAGGAGTAGCTGTTTTAACAGAAGAAAGCATCTCCAGGTGTCAAAGCCCAAGCCCAGTGCTCAGGAAACCCAGCATAATTTGCAGGCACAGAATAGGGACACAGCCTTTGAAGGGTGGTTGTCCCAGACCTTTATGTGCACTTGAGTTCTTGACTCTCCTTTGAATTAGGAACCAAGATATGTCTGAGGTCTCATATCTTAGTGTCCCTATCTGTAAGCAGGAAAAAAAACCCAGTACTTTCTACTTCAGATAAGCTAAGTATGCTGAAGAGGGCCAGGGGTTCAGTGATAGAAATGAAAGGGCGTAAAAGTACTTGAGATCCACCAAATAAGGATTGCCAGAGCTATTGCAGGTGCAGTCCTTCACTAGGTTCAGACTCATACTGAAGTGGCACTATTCACTAGAGGCTTCCTTTCCCCCCAGTTCTCCACTGGTATAGGTGTCTGTGCTCAGCCTGTAGCAGAGTACTTCTGCCCCCTGTTCTTCATTCTTGGGATGTATGTTTGGAATATCACAATCAAGCTGTTCGTGTTTAATGGCTGTATTTTCTAATGCTAATTGCCTGCTGAAATTTTGAGCCTTTGAGCTGAAGATTTCCAGACCAGGTTTCTGCCCTGGATTAATTCCATTTAAATGTTTAAGTAACAAAGTGCAGCTATTCTTGTAGACAGGGAAAATATTCTCCCTTCATCTGAAGGACAAAAAGAAGAAAGTGATAGATTGTTTTGAACAGCTTCAGTGTCGAAAGGAGTGGGAGCAAGAAAAGACTGAAACACTACAGGAAAATAGTCCTTTGAGAGGCAATGAGCCTTTTTGTGTTCCAGTGGAGCTAGCCAAGGTTTGGGGATAATAGTTTCCATATGCATAACAGGTTTGCACAACTATTTCCCCATATTCTGCATAAAATAAGGCAGTGCTTTACATGGTGATACCATTCTTTATATACACTAAAATGACTCTCTAGCTGGTGAGGTGGGCTGTACCTCCATCACTGCAACAAGTGAGGGGATGGAAGGAGTGGACAAGCTTTAATGTGCAAAGTTGCCCATTGGAGGTGATGGGTTTTGACCTGTCCAACATCAAGATACCTTTTCCCTTAAGAAAAAAAAAAAAAAGAGTAGGAAAAGACCTGCTACTTCAGCCACTAAGCATGTGTGCATGTGTGTGGAGGCTGCTCTAAATGAAACCTGGCTTACCTGACTCCAGCCTATGTGCCTCAAGCTTTCAAGGCAATATACAGTATCAGAAAAAATGCATTATACATTTCAAAAGGGATATTTATGGACTTAGAAATGGAGAGATCTGCAGAGAAAAGAACTAAGGCAAAAAGGGGTAAAGCGAGTTTTGGAGGAATTGAGGCATATAAGGGTATTGTAGGTGTTTTTCAAGCCTATCTCTAGTACAAGCACAGTGTTGTTTGCAGGCCATGATCAGTCATCTTGAGAATCCCAAATAGACCGATGGGACTCGTTGTAAACTACTGTTTAACAAAAGAAGCAGCTTTCATTGAGTGTCGCTGGCAAAACAGTCTTGACTTGGGGAATTTTATTTAATTTTTTGCAACATTAACATAAAACTTTAATTACTGATTTGGACATTTAGGAAAAGAAGACACTTAAACAAATACTTAGAAAACCATCTTTCCTCCCTCAGCTTAAACCAGACACCTCCCAAGCCTCAGCCCCTCCTTGTTTCCACTAGCCCTCTCTCTCAGTCCCTCCCAGATCCTCTGGTGAGGTGATGGGCAGTGCTCATCATGGTCTGTGCATAAGGGTGTGTTTCAGCTGCTCCTCCCTTTTTACTTGTTCCCCTCTGTCCACCAGCTCCAGGGGTGTCTGCCCTGGTGTGTCTCACACATGGCCACAAACCCTCTGAGGTACCTCATCTGGTACGGAGCAGCTTCCCCCATGTGTTTCTTCTGCCTCACCTCAGGTATCTCCCACAGCTGTGCCTTCTTCTGTGTCTCCTGTCCCTTTCTTCCACCTGCTGGAGGCAGGTGCTGGGGGTGCCCAGGTGGCTGGGGCTCTGCCTCATGCCCAATGCAATGACAGAAATCATGAAACCTGTTATGACAATGGTGAGTAAGAACCAATTTTCCTGGAGAGCAGGATCGCCCAGGCACCTCTGCATTAAGGAGTCCTTGGGGCTGGCTGCTGGTGGATGATGCCAAAGAGAGAACAAGGTACCAAACATGAGCAGTAGGTGCAGAAGAAATGGATGGGAGGTCAGAGCTGAGCGCACAAGTTACTTGATCATGGTTTGGAAAGAGGAGGCACAGTGAGTTGTGTGTCTGAGAGAGGGGTGAGCACCCCTGTGCACACTCCAGGCTTTGGAGGGGCTCAGGCTGGCAGTCCAGCTCCAGGAGCCTGTGGTAAGACATCCAAGCCTGGGAGGTGTGGGGAGGTTAGGTTATACTATGCTCTTCCTTTTGGCTAGCTCAGGTTTCTGTCTCTTACCCTTCAATGTCGGCGTAGTCAAGGACTGTAAATACTTCTCTGGGAGGCAGCCAAGTGAAAGCTGGTCACCGCTGCAACAGCTCTTTGTGGCTTTAGGTCTGCTTGCCTATTCAAAAGATGCTCCTGGCAGCTCTGCTCCATGCACGATGGGCCACATGTCCAGGTTTTGTGGAAAACAGATAAATCCCAGCCAGAATTAGGTGGCCTAAGGGGCTATAAATGAAAAAAGGGAAGCTGGGAGACTCCTGGGGATGTAAAGAAAATTATCTTAAGTAGGTTACTGTCTTATGTCCTGAGCATTAAATGGATGGGTTCCCTTCCGTTTTCTCTGGCCATTGCTGCCATTCAGCACCTGTGCTTCCTCTTCAACACAAGGTCTTCCTATGGGCTTGTACAACAGTCTGGTGGCACCGGTGAGGTGGTGGTAGCCCTTTGGCAGTGACACGAAACAGTTGTAAATCACAGCATAGGCTGAATCCCCAGGGCATCTTCCCTGCTCCCTGCACTGGGTGTAAAGCCTGACCACCAAAATTGCTCTTTCCACTTGGAAAAGACCTACAGGCCTGGCCAGCACTAGTGGAGCAAGTAAAGACCTCCCAACACACACAGTCCCCAACATTCCCTACCCCTGCCTGGCTGTGCTGGAAGGGTGCTGTTGTTTGATGTATCTCTTTGTCCTTGTCATCTGAGGTGGACACCCCTTAGAGGGGTGTCCTCAAAATAACTGGACTTTTTCACACTGACATAACCATCACTGCACCACATATTTCATCTTGTTACAACATTTGCTTAACCTCAGGAAGGTTTCTTGTTATGCAAGCCCTAGGAGATAGATAGGCTGATTAAGCTCAAGTGAGTGTAATTTTTATCACCTTGGGAAGAAAGCTTTCCTGCAACATAACATGTAACAATTTATCACACTTTTCTTCCCTGTGGCACTTACAGAATATGTAAGCGCAAAGGATTGCAGTCAAATATAGAATTGAAGACACATCAAACTTTAATTAATTTTCTGGAAGAATTTATGTGGAGGAACCAGTGGGAGGTGAGAAGCAGAGCTCATCCCTGTATTTCATTTTCCTCAGCTGCATATGACGGTAGCTGTCTCTCAGGATGACTCTTTCTTGTAAGCATGCTCAGAAGCAGCTGGAAGCTGGCTAGACTGTGACGGATGGTGCCAAACCTCTATTGTTTTGGCTTAAGATGGGTATTTTGGAGTGGTTTTGCTTTAAAAACAATTATCCTCCAAACTTTCCATTCTCTCTGAGGCGCAGAAATTTCCTGGTGAGGCAGGAATCATGGGAAAGGTAGCAATGAAATGAATGTAAATCTACCATTACCCTGACATAACTTATTTCGGCTGTGAGATGAAAAGACTCAGGAGCATTTCCATGCTTGGGTAAGTATTACCGATGAGGCATTGCTAGAACATTTTGCTGCAGGACAGACCATTCACCAAAGAGCAGGCAGACACTGCTGATTGTGTACGATCACAGCTGGCTGAGAGCTCCAGCGAGGCTCACACTAGACATGCTAGCTGCAATAGGAATGTTGGCTGGGGCAGAAGCGTGTGTTTTAATACAGCAGATCCGTGTCAGCAGCAGCTGTAGTGGAGATGCAGTCATGCTAACAAAAAGTGCTTTTGCCAGTACAGCATATACGAAGTATAACAACAACAGAGACTCCCTTTCCAGCTTTTGGCATCTACTTAGGAAACTGAGCTAGAAGCGTCTGCTGTTCCTGTGCAAGCTGAAGAGCTGAGGCCTTGGAGGTGGTATTATCGTCTCTGGATTGGGCATAATATGCCTGGCAGGGGATGGTGGCTACTCTGAGCACAGCCCCAGAAATCCACATTTCCCACTGGTGGAGAAGGTTGCACCTTCAAACCAGGACAGGCTGCAAGTGTAGAAGGAGCTGGTTCCTGCACTGGGAGTTTCATGGGTATGATGCACCGGTGTCTAGTCTCTGACAGCTCAAATCAGGGCTAATCCCCATTATTGATAAGTCCTTATAGACTTCTGCTAAAAGCAGTAGATCTTGCTAAAGAGCCACTTTGCAGAAATCACTATCATCTGGCTCAAGCAGGCTCAACTAACTGGTACTGACAACTTCACACTGAGCACCCTCGAGATCCTGCAAAATGCATCCACATCAGTCTGTTCCCAGAGCCAGCATAGTACAGAATCCAAAGGGATCTTAGACAGATGAGTTTTTTGCATTGCTTGGGAACTAGACACCCTGTAACAACTGCTTACCTTGTTAGCAGCTAGCAGGTGCCAGTGGGAGGGGATTTACATTCACTAGACGAACCAAATTCCAGTGAGGAGATTAAACTTGTAAGAGTCTTATGGAAAATAAGCATTCTGGTTAAGAAGAGAAGCTGGAGAACTGGCGCTAAGGATAACCACTGGGTACTTAGACCTCAGCGAAGAGTGTTAATGGATAACTTGTTAATGGATAGCTTGTTACCCCAATCACCTCAGAAGTCCATTTGGAAGGAGTTCCAGAAACTCTGTGTGTGTGTGTAAGATAAGGAAGGAGGCCAACAAACACAGCTCTGTTGAAAGCGCTGGGAGTGATTTAAGAGACAGGAAGAGGATCTGAAAAGCTGTTAAGGCTGCAAAAGAACCTGCTTCCAGGGGTAATGGGATTCTAATTTTCCCAACCTGAGGTGCAGGATACAAGCTGGACAAGAGGAGTTTATTCTTAATGAAAAAGTAACCACTTGAGTAGAAAGGGGCAGAGGCAGAGCCTTTATTTCTGTTATATTCAAGTCATTTTTCTGGCTACAGCATAGACATTTGTGAAGGAGGAGGATGATAGTGCAGAGCATAACTCCTGCCAGACCTTTTTTTGAGAAGCTCACACACACACTAAAAAAAAGTCGTCCGTATCTTTATAGATTATAGCAAAATGGGAGACTGAACTACCTAGACAGAAGGACATTGACACTGCCAGGATACAGATACTTTCAAGTATGGATAAAACTCGGTTCTATGACATAACAACTCCCCCGAGGTTATTGCTGGTCTACAATCAAGTCTTTGCACACTAGGCGTAGATGATTATATGATTATGGCCTTATCCCTCCCCGTGCCCAGCAAGAGAGGATAAGTTCTTGCTTCTTTTTACACTGGAGGTCATTTTTTATTGTATGTATTGCAAGTAAATGCATACATTCTTATATGTATCTTTTTAAGAATGTGATTTAATATAGTATAGGAGGCCTAATTCCGCACCACCAGAGGGAAACAAGAATGGCTAAACAACTTCAATGTCTTATTATGATGTATTCTGTTACCTGTGCAGGTAAACCTCTGGGCTCAAAGGGTGGCTCACATCTGATTGGTGGTGAGAGGTTTATGAGAGAAGTACTGCAGGAGTTGTTTAACATCTTCATCATCAACCTGATTGATAACACAGAATGAACCTTCAGCAAACTTATAGACGATATTTAATTAGAATAAGCAGCTGGCAAGATGAGTGGCAGAGCTTCAGCCCAAAAGACCTTTGCTAAACATGAGGACAAGGCCAGCCTGAAGAGCTTGAATGGTTTATCAAAGAGAAATGAAAAGTTTCGCATTTGTGGCAGAATAGCCCCATGCATCAGCACAGGCTGGGAAGTAACTGGCTAGTGATAATCCTGTTAAGAAAGCCCTTGGTGCTTATGGTGGATGGGTACTGCATCACCATTATAGGTGATGGGCATTCTTACTGCAAATAAGGCAAGCCATACATTTGGCTATATTAGGAAGACATAATGTAGCTCTCCATTAGAAAGATTCTTGGGATGGCAACAGTCCTGCTCTGATCAGGAGATTGGAGTAGATTACCTCTCAAGTTATATGTCAACCTATATTTCCATGATGCTACAGCTTCAATCTCAACAGCAGCTTAGTCACTGAATAACTTAATGTTTATTTTTTTCCCAGAAAATATGTATAAATGGTTCCCCTGATCTATATATATATCAGTGTGAACTTGAGACAGCACTAATTTTCCATGCAGAGTCATCTCCTTCCCCAGGCAAGAACGCTTACCTTGAAATCCTAAAGTAGGCAGAAGGTTCTGAATGTGACATGTGGAAGTTGAGGTTTGGTCAACTACATTGCTACCCTGGGTATTTCTGGTGGCTTAAAACTCTTTGCTTTATAGCTTAGTAAAGTGATGCTTGTTGTTATGAATGTTGATAGCTGGGAGGGACAGGATAATAGTCCCTTCTTGTTTTCATTACTGGCCTGTAGAACTGCAGTTAATAAAAGCAATGATTTCTTAAAATGCACTTTGTATTACATCTGTCCTCAGGCAAGAGGACAGCATGCCTGGTTAAACGTTTGGCCTTTAGACCAGCAGAAAGTTTGATATTCAACTCTGAATCATGTGAGAGGAGAAAGAAGAGCATCCCCTGCTGAAGGCAGGGTTTTGAAATTGTATTCTCCATTCTGCTCTGGTTTCCTCAAAGCTTTTGGGTGCACACATCTCTACACCCACTCTCTTTCTAGACTGGAAAGGGAATGCTTTCTGGTTTGGGGATTAGTGATTTGAGCAGAGCCACTGGGATGAGATCAAAGGCTTGTGGGAAAATGATGAGCTATATTTTCTCCAAGTGAAAACTCAGCAGCAACCCTCCCAGGGTTCTGTTGTTGCAGTAGCATGAACACTTTCACCCAGATTCATCCCATCACATCAGAGACACTTAATGAGGCACCCAAATTAAGAGTCTTGTTGTCTTAAGATCTCTTATTCCTGTAGAGAAGGAACTCCGGCATGCAATTTAGCACTCCTACAGCCTGAATTACTCTTTTCAGGGTGCCTGTCTCTCTCTGGGTGCTAAGGAAGACTTGGGTGACTAATGTAGGCACTTCAAAACTTTCTTTTTGTTTATCAGCCTGAAAGTCAGGGTCTAGATATTTTGTCTATGTTAAACTTGCAAGTTGTGGTTAATTCTGGTGGCTGAATGGTTTGGTGTGATGAGCCAGCCCAGGGCTGACACATTGCTGATGCACACTACCCAGACAGTCTGAAGGGTACTAGAGAGGACACAATAGAATCATTAACCTCAGTGATTCTGCTGTGAACCGACAACAGATAAACCAAAATGGTAATATCTGAACTTGAAAAGTAGTTCCACAAATGAGGCAGCACAACAGCTAAATACTGTCAACATGCTGCAGCTGTCTACCCTCCATTTGTTCCTTCCCTTTCCTTCTTGGAGGCTTCAGACCTGCTGTGAGAACAGGTATGTTTTGTTGCCTTGGTCTATACATACTGAGTGGACAGACCTCCAAGGTTTCCATGAGCTTTGTACAGCCATGTACAACAACTATGACTCCATGGCTAGCTGTTTGAAACTCCAAAATAAATCTAGGTGGACAAAGACCTGATGTGGAGATCTGATAACACCTAATTGTTCTTGTCTCCCTACCCCTCCTTTACTTATGCCTTCCTCCAGTCCCCCAGATTCTACTATTCTATGATCCAGTCCCATTGGAGAGGCAGGCAAGCATGAGCTGATGGGCTGTTCCCTGAGCCTGTACCTCCTGTCAAGTGAGCCCTTTCAGAAGGGGTATGAGATGATTAGGGTAACATCCTTCAGGACATCATTTTGCATGCAGGTGCTGCTGCACATTAACTGTGTTGAGCCTTCAGCCTTTCCTTAGCCCTGGTGGATCGCCTTCTGCTAAATGTTTCTTTACCAGGAGCTCATCTGGGCTCCTTCTGGACTTCAGCTGCTGTGTCTGAGAAGGACTTATTCAACCATGTTATTTCTCAGCACTAGGTAAGACATCTCTGAACACTTCTGAACAATGGCACTGCATTTTCTTTGGTCTTTCCCTATTCCAAGGCACACAGTGATGCCTCCCCTTCCATTCACCATGCTCACCAGGATTTTTTCTGCACATGTTAGTTCTGCCATGTTTTAAAAGGAGTATCTATTGCCAGTGTAGAGATGGAAAGAGAAAGTGGCACTACAGAGACAAGTTTTAGCTCTGACATCAGAAAGGTTCTCTAAAACTGTGGCCTGGATTCCTACCTCCTCAGGCACTTAAAGCAGTACCAAAGACCCCATTCAAAAGAGATTATACCAGGTGGCGGTTGTTTTCTTTTAGCTTGCCTCAGGTACCATCAGAAAATGCCCATCTTCCTCTATTGTCCACCTTCCTTAGGTCAGGGATGGACCGTGCTGGGACTCCTGAGGTGTTAAAGGAGGTTATCTGCATCCTGGAAATCCTCTTTCCGGCTGTGAGCCTGGAAAACACATCCCAAACCTCAAGAGTTGCTCCTATGAAATAAAGATGCTGGTACCCATAAAAGATGCTTTCTTTCCTGTTCAGATGTCAAAAAAATACACATTCAGCTTTTGTTTCATATAGCCACCCACTTGTTTGAAGTTGCAAGCACATGCCGAGTGTCAGTTTCCTTCTTTTCTTGTTTCAAAGTGTACACTGCATGTCTGTATTAAAGTATCTCTAAGCATAGGAAATCCTTCTTCCTTTCATTGTACATCTATTGGACACGTTATTCATTTGTGTAAACAAAAAAAGGGGTATTTTGAAAAAGTGGAAAATCCCAAGTGCTTACTTGAATTAATTCATTTTTCACCTATCAGTAGATTGTATTTATTTCATTTTGCAGTGAAACTTTCCACTCATTCCTGAGAGATCCAAAGCCCCTAGGGGCTCAAGGCATCTGACTAATCAGGAATGACTCAGATGGCTATGTAAGCCTGGACTCCAATGGAGTGGGCTCCATCTCACTGGAAATCATCTGGAGCCAGGCTGTGGAATGATGGGGAAGGCTGTGACTGCCCAGTGGAGCTTCCTGCTGCAGCATTTGACCTTTTGGCTGTACAACACAAGAGACCCAGAGCAGCTGTACAGCCTGCAGCAGCCAGAGCAGGGCTAACCCAGCTGGGGCTAGCATGGGGGACTTTTCTTGGTAGGATTAGAGCATCAACATTGACTGTGCAGCCAAGTGTTTCCGTATAACTTTGAAGTGCATTTTTATGCTTTCATAAATAGATAGTTGTCTTGTTTCTCCAAAGAAGAATGGAGCATGGTTTACTTCCCAAGGACACCCATGTGCCTGTGTGCAGGAAGGAAACATCTGTGGAGGTGAGCAGGCATGGTGAGGAGTTTTTGCTCTGTGCTGGTTTGTGGGAACTTATTGCAAGCCACTCAAAGGTTTTATGTCAAGTGAGTAGTGTGCTAATGCCCCGGCACTCAGGAGTATTTCAGGGGTGGAGTTCTCCATTTGTTTAGTTTTTTGCTTGCTGTGCTTGGGGTGCCAAAGAATATTAATTGGAGGGGCTGTAGTAGCCTGAGTGATGGGGAGCAGTCTGCCTGGAGACTGGATCTGTGTCTGGTCAGACTGGAGAGTCCCGTTTCCAGGGGACCTGTTAGGACCTGGAAGGGATCAGCTTTGCACCCACACTCCGTGTGATGTCCACACATGGTGCAGCAGTACCTTGTGACATGAGCGGTGGGGTCCAGGACCTCTGTGCCTGCCCAGCTGTTCCAGTCCCCAGGAAGATGTTGGCAAAGCCTGGACATCTGCAGAACAGTGGGGAGCAAGTGCCTTGCCGACACTGTCCCTTACCATTATCTACCAACAGTATTACTGGGTCACATTCTGTGGGAAAAGGTACACAGTAAGGTAGTTTATACCTGTCAGAAAGGTGGAACAGATGAATAACTTAGAGGCTACCAACTACAAAAGAGAAAGAAGCCAGAAAGTTGTCGCACAAAGCTACTGTTCACATGCCGGCACCTTATGCTGGTTCTGGAATATGGTTGGAAACTTATGGGTCTGTAATCTGCAGTAAACCAATATTTTTAAAAAAATAGGTTCTCCTGCCCCCCTTATCCATTAGACTATGATATTGATCCAAAATGAATGGCCTATTCAAAGTGATAGGAACTTTGAATCCCATCACAAAGATGATCAGAGGGCCAGAGCACCTCTCCTGTGAGGACAGGCTGAGAGTTGGGCTTGTTTATCCTGGAGAAGGCTCCAGGGAGACCTTAGAGCAGCTTTCAGTACCCAAAGGGGGTCTACAAGAAATCTGGAAAGGGACATTTTACAAGGACATGAAGTTACAGTACAAGGGGCAATGGCTTCAAACTGGAAAAGGGGAGGTTTAGATGAGATGTTAAGAGGAAGATCTTCACTGCAAGGGTGGTGAGGCACTGGCACAGGGTGCCCAGAGAAGCTGTGGCTCCCCTGTCCCTGGCAGTGCTCAAGGCCAGGTTGGATAGGGCTTTGAGCTCCCTGGTCTAGTGGAAGGTGATTCTATGAGATGTCTCCTTGGAAGTCAGTGCCAT